CCCCCCCCCCCCCCCCCCCCCCCCTCCTTTTCTCCCTTCCCTCCTTCCTAGGGTCTCAACAGGAGAACAGTAGGAGAACAATAGGAGTTGTAGTTTTCATGGGGTTTGAAGTTTCCATGGGGTTCGAAGTTTCCATGGGGACTGTACTCTCCTCCGTCTCGTTTCCCCTCGCTCCTACGTCTTCTGGGTCTCCCCTCTCCCTCTTAAGTCGTCGAGGGACTCTCCCCCCCGAGCCCTTGGACCTTACATTATTTTACGTACGACGTACTGCTACGACGTGATAACTACATACAAACGCCCCGAAGTCCCAACCCGTCCCTGACAGCTGTCACAGCCTCCACGCCGCTCCCAACATGTCGTCGTCGTCTGAGGTTGATAATATCGTCGCGATTCTCAAGGGAGTCGAGGCCTCCTCCTTCCAGAGTGAGGCTGACCGCGTCCGTTTTCGTGATGCGCTCTTCGCCACGCTTAGAAAGGTCCAGACGCCATGGGACATTGTCTGGGAGCACAACTGGGTCAACGGTACCACAAATGCCAGCATCAAGACCCTCATCGACGCCGGCGTCTTCCCCAAGATGGTGGAGAATGACTGTGCACCCAAGACGTCCGCCGAGCTGGCCAAGTTGACGGGTGCCGATGAGAAGCTTCTCTGTATGTTCTGGATGCCTTTGTCGTTGTTGTTAAGATTTTTTTTTCCTTTTTTTAAAAAAGGGGGTCGTCAATCTGCACCACGGAAGCTAAGACGCAGAAACACTCTAGGCCGCCTGTTGTCACAGATCTCCGGACAGAATCTCGTGATCGAGACTGCCGAAGACACATTCGCGCCCACAGAATGGGTCAAGGGCCTCGTGGCCGACCCGGCCCTGAACTCGACATACGGCAGCTTCTACAGCGACCTCAACAGCCCAATCTTCTGCGCGCTGCCGTTCTTCCTCAAGGAGACGGGCTTCAGGAACCCGACCGACGCCAATAGCTCCAACTTCCAGTACTGGCAGGCCGACCCCAACATCAACTTCTTCAACTTTGTCGGCACAAACAAGAAGCTGACGGCATCCTTCAACGACGCCATGGAGTGCCACTCCAGGTACAACCTCACTCCCTGGCCCGAGGTGTACCCCACCGAGACCCTGGTCGCTGATCTGAAGACTGACCGTCCCGTCATCGTCGATCTCGGCGGCGGCAAGGGCCACGACCTGCAAAAGTTTAGCGACCGCCACCCAGACCTCCCCAAGGGCTCACTCGTCCTGCAGGACCTCGGCGATATCCTGACCCATGTGAAGACGTCGGATTCCATCTCGGTACAGCCGCACGACTTCTTCACCCCCGAGCCCATCAAGGGCGCCCGCGCCTACTTTATGCACAACGTCCTGCACGACTGGGAGGACTCCAAGGCTGTCAAGATACTGAAAAACATTGCTGGCTCGATGGAGAGAGGCTACTCCAAGGTCCTGATCCACGAGAGTCTTGTCAGCTCTGTTGCCCCTGCTTCTCGGGTCACCGTATCCGACATCACTGTCATGGCCTGCTTGTCGGCAAAGGAGAGGACCGAGAAGGAGTGGCACAGCCTTCTCGAAGAGGCTGGCCTCGAGATTGTCAAGATCTGGAGGCCTATCCACTCTGTTGAGAGTGTTATCGAGGCCGAGCTCGCATAAGTCGTTGAAAACATGGTCTACGGCAGACGAATCCTCTTTATATATCGGGTCATGGAGTGGCTTTGGACTGCTCATCCAACCGTCAAACTGACGGGGCAAAACCGAGATCATGAGCACATATAGTTTAGAATGCGATTCGTATCAAGTCATATTAAGCTATATCAAGCTATTGTCAAGGACATGTCAGAAGTAATAGAGAAAGTGATGAAGTCATAATCATTTATCTCTATCCTCTTTCTTTCTAGTAGCTTCTTAGCTACCTCTTTATACTGGTTCCAGATTCTTATCTTTAATGCCTTTATGTTGGTATCGTCTTTTCTTCCTTTATATTCACCGTACGATATCACAGGTGCATCAGCTCCTTCTTCAAGAAGAGCCTTTGCTGTTGTGATGATCGATAGTTGTATTGTTCTAGGATGACTCTCTTCGTGATAGTAGCATATATGTTTGCCAAGTCATCCTGAGGCAACAACCCCGGTACCGGGTTATCCCTTCTTCCGGCCGCATTTGGCAGCCTGATGCAAACACTTTAACTTGCTTGTGACAATAATTATACTTCCTTGAACCTTAACTGATTCTTTTTTGATCTCCTAATATCCTTCTTAGATGTGGCTTGATAGCTTGAGATGGCTTACTTAACATGACTATAACTTAGTGGCTTGACACTTCCCTGACTGTCCTTTGTCCTTTGTCAGCACTTGGCGAAAGTCCTTTGTTAGCACTTGACAGTAAGTGAGTATTGTAGTGATGAGTAAGGGAATTTTTGAGGTGCGCGTGAAGGCCGCATGACAGGCCGTAACAATTTCTGCGATTCGGGCAAGTGCATGTCACTCGGCTATTCCGTACCTTCCCACTATTAAAACCAATATCACCGAAAACAGTTTAGCGTCCTCTAAGGTCAAATCACCCCTCGACGTCAGTTGCTCCATTTCCTACCCAATACGACCAGCTCGGCCAACTTCTCACAATCGCTACCAACGGCCAGAGAGACGCGCGCACACGTCAACTAATCACAGGCGCGCGAGAGCAAACGGATGGGTAAAAGGCCGGCAAAGATATAGGAAGGCGAAACCATCAACCTCGTCAGCGGTCACTCCCCGTTCCCCGTTATCACCCCCCCCCCCAGCCCCCTTTTCCCCCATGGCTTCATACGTCGAGAACCCGATGACCGAATCGTCAGCCAGCGCAGGAGGAGCAGGAGGTGGCCTGCGCAACGAGGTCAAGAAGCTCAGGAAGAAGAAAGTGCTTCTGATGGGAAAGTCCGGCTCGGGAAAGTCGAGTATGCGCAGCATCATCTTCAGCAACTACATTGCACGCGACACACGACGATTGTGCGTATACCCTTTCCCTCCGCCCCCTCTCTCTGCCGTCTGCTGATCCGGTCTTGCCGTATCACTATTTCAGAGGCGCGACAATCGACATTGATCTATCCCACGTCAAGTTCCTAGGCAACCTAACGCTCAACCTGTGGGACTGCGGCGGCCAGGAGGCCTTCATGGAGAACTACCTGTCGCAGCAGCGCGTGCACGTCTTCTCCAACGTCGGGGTGCTCATCTACGTCTTCGACATCGAATCACGCGACGTCGACCGTGACCTGGCCACATATGTCGCCATCCTCTCGGCCTTGTTGCAGTTCTCATCGACGGCGCGCATCTACATCCTCATTCACAAGATGGACCTGGTGGTCCCGTCGGCCCGCGAGACCATGTACGACGACCGCGTGCGTCTGGTACGGCAAAAGACGGCCGAGTTCGCGCACTCACTCGGCGGGTCCGACGGCGCCGCCGCGGCCGTCGACCTGGTCCCGTTCGCCACCTCCATCTGGGACCAGAGCCTGTACAAGGCCTGGGCGTCCATCATCCACGACCTGGTGCCCAACCTGTCCGTCATCGAACAGAATCTCGCCAACCTCGGCCAGGCCATCGAGGCTGAAGAGCTCCTCCTGTTCGAGCGCACCTCCTTCCTCGCCGTCTCGTCCTGGACCTCGCCCGAGGGCCAGCGCAACCCCACCGAGGACCGCCTCGAGCGCATGTCCAACATCATGAAGCACTTCAAGCAGAGCATCTCGCGCTTCACAGGCACCCCGCGCAATGCCGAGCAGTTCGTCCGCATGGAGCACAAGGCCGGCATGCGCTTCAGCCTCTTCATCCTCAAGTTCACCACAAACACCTACCTCATGGTCGTCTTGCCGCCCGGCGAGGCCCGCTTCAACGCCGCCATGCTCAACTGCCAGGTTGCTATTCAGCATTTCAAGTTCCTCGACGGTCCGGCTGCCACCACACAGACATCGACATGAGTCCGTCATCAAAATCTACAAGAGTCCCCTATCATCTTGCCCAAGTTTACGGGGGACAGAATAAACAAAAAAAATATAATTAAATGGAAAGGGAGGGAAAGGGAAAAGAAGATGAAAAAAATGAGGGAAGCATGGTTTTTTTTTGGTGCATTGTGATTTGGAGTTTGGTGGTGTATTGGACGATACCATCGCACTTTTTTTCTTCTCTCCTTTTCCTATTTCACAATGTTTGCTTTTTGGCCTGTTTGCCTCCAGGACTGGAGTTTTTTTGGAGTTTTCTATGTCTAGAACGGAAATCTTGTATGGATATATGCTTCCTACCCATTTTTTTTCCCCTTTCTCTCTCTCTCTTCTTCTACATGGTAGTATCTTGTACATAGCAGGGGTAGAATAAGAGACGGTTTCTTAAGCCACTAATTTTTCTCTTCTTCTTTCTCTTCAATTCTTGTTTCTAATCCTTCCTTGTCTGTCTTTAGTTCTTCTTTCTACATTACTACTACAGTACTAGTAGCTCTTGAGTAGCTCGTTTAGCGAGTTGAACAACTCTTACCGAGGTTCCAATGAATTCCAAATGATTCTGTTCTCCGCCCATGCTAGGTTGGGAGATTATAAAATAACAATAAAAAAAGGAAGGAAGGAGAAGAGCCCTAAGTCCACTTGACCATTGCCGTACCTCCCTTCTTGAACTCAGCCATGTCACCTAGGACGAGAGACTTATCGGTGTGGTTCTTGTTGGGGAACGTGGTGATCAGGACCCATGGACGGGAACGTGTATCGGCCGAGGCGCTCTGGACGAAGCTATAGATGTCGCCGACGGTGTGGGTGGTGTTGAAGCGGGCGGGCAGCCTCGTGCCGTCGGGGAGCTGAATCCGGATCAAGACGGTAGGTTGGGAGTCGTCGACGGCAGGAGCGTTTGACGATGAGGATGACGCGGCGGCAGCGGCGGGGGCTGCTACTGCTGCAGTGGTCGTGCCGGAGCCAGAGCCCGAGGCGCCGGGGACGGGGCTGCCGAGACGATGTCCGGAACCGCTAAAGGGCCTGTACTTCTTAGGCTGGGGTTGGAAGGGCGTGTCGTGCTGCTGGAGCTTGACGTCGACGGGAGCGTCCTGGGTCACGTTCATGAGGTGAAGGGGGGCGCGGCCCTGGCGGATGAGCTGGAGGTCAGCCATATTGGCCGGGTCGTCGAAGCGTCGGAGGTCACCATCGTCAATGCTAAATCCCTCCTGCCAGATGTGCAGTATGCGTTCCTGCGGTTGGACGTTGGCGGCTCGCGCCGCTCCCAGAGGGTCGGGTATGCTGCGGCTCTCGGTACCCTCACCACCTAGGGTCATGCCGGTGCCGCGGAAGCGGGAGGGCTCCGCGGCCACGGCCTCTGGGGTTGCAGCTTCTGGGCGGGCAGAGTTGCTGAGGCCTCCTGTTAGATCGTTCCTTTCTTGTACAGGGGTCGCGACAAGGGATGGTGAGGACTTACGCCTTCGCCTTGGCCAGAATGTCGCCAATAATTCGCTTGGAGGATCCCCCTTCCTGCTTGGGGTCTTGGACGGCGAGCCCGGATTTCTCGCCCCCGGCGAACAGGTTGCCGCGATTGTCGTCCTCGTCGTCGTCATCATCGTCGTCATCGTCGTCATCGTCATCGTCGTGCGCGTGAGAGGCACTCCCAGCCAGCGAGCTGAGGGTGGCTATGCCGGCCACACCCCTCTTCCTCGGCTGGACCGGCGGCTTGCGCGTGCGGCTGTTGGATGAGGACACGGGAGCCGGGCGGCCGTCGAGGGTACGGGGTCCAGTGTACGCCGGCTCACTCGCTGCTGCTGACGCTGCCGACCCTGATCCTGACTGCTGTGCCTGCTGCTGCTCGAGCTTCCTCTCGTCGTCGTCCTGGAAGTACGAGTTGGTGGCAGCCATCATGTCCCAACCGTTAGCTCCGAGATACTGAGTAGCCTAGAAGAAGGAATGCATCAGTACTCGGGAATCACTTCGCGCGGTAAGAAGTGAGGGAATTGATCCAACATACGACATCGGGCGATGCGCCAGTCATGCTGGAAAACTCGCTGACCTGCATGGACTGATCAGGTTGGTCAGCCATGGCGGCGGCGGGGTTGTCGTGATAAGAGAGAGGGAAGAAGAGATAAACGGAGGATAGTGCGTGTCGTTGGATGTAGTAGCAGAACGAGGGATCTGAAAGCCTCAGAGGGGAGAAGTTGAGAGGAGAGAGGGTAAGAAGGGGGGGGGGGGAAGGCTTAGGTGGTGAATGACGATGCGGCGACCACAGGCAGCTTCAATAGCAACGTCACCAGGCGAAAGCTCCAGGGCTCTTAGCGGGTCAGTGTGGGGGTGATTTAATACCTGTATGAGTGTGTACGAGTACGGATATACGCAAACTGATCTAGAAAGTCCTACTCCCTGACATAAGCCGACCCTACCCCGCTGCATTTTAGTTGACCCGAGACCCTTAGGTAGGGTCAACTAACCTTATATCTCTACGAGTACTCGTACCTGTTGGTTTGTAAATAATCTCATAAAGTTCACATATAGATTTATTGGAGGAAAAATATAATAATGAATAGGCTTTTTGGGAGAAAATTTTTCAAAAGCTTTTCTTTTCTCTCAGGACTCTCCAAAACACTTACAAGCCATTCGACCCCACCGGAACAGCAATTCAGCCGTACGCCGTATTACGTAATCTAGAATCTTGGCTGTGCGTGCGCGTTGTTCCCCCCCCCGACCAACCACCAAGCTTCATTTGGATTACCGCTGAAGCTCAAGGATTTGAAGAACTGGGGGAGATTCTGCTTGACGATCGAATATCCATCTCATAATAAAGAAGCCAGTCGACGACGACAACGACGATATACACAAGAAGAAATCCCAAACAAGGAAAACGACGCTGCCGAAAACCATGGCTGCTGCCGCCCCCGAAGACTCCGTCAGCCATCTTGCCGAATCTGGCATAACGATGCACTCAGACAGCGAGCAGTACTCGGCCGCCGAGGCAGACAACGTCACCGAGTCGCCCGAGTCGACATCGTCATCGCCCATCATCCTGTACAGGTCGCCTACCGTGTGGTCCTTGGTCAGGGGCGCCGCCATCAACCTCCTGCTCCCTTTCATCAACGGCATGATGCTCGGGTTCGGTGAACTGTTTGCCCACGAGGCTGCCTTCCGGTTAGGATGGGGAGGAACAAAGGTATGCACACATGCACACGGCCCCATGCTCTACTCAACGATGGCTGACAAGATGCAATCCGTCAGGTCTTCCCCATGTCGCGCAGACGTGTTCATCCCATCGGTCCGGGTATTGAAGCCAGGGAGCAACGTGGAAAGTCGGCCTTTGGTCTATGAACAACGGCGAGAATAAATCACACGGCTAGTTGCAGAAGGATGGAGTTCTCGCGGGAAACTCCCGGGGAAATATACATGCATACACACACACACATATATATATATATATAAACAAATAAGAGTTCACAGCGCATTGCATCTATCTTATTCGCCGAGGTGTGGCGCGTTGAGTCGCTCTGTTGTAGGTACCAGAATGGAACAGGAACAGCTGCGAACAAAATTACAGAAATAAACGGTACAAACGTCAAATAGGTCTAACTAAGCCTGGATAGAACAATCCCTTAGATCCTTTTCCTCCAAAAGTTCATGTCATACTCGTAAATCCATTGAAAGGAGGTCTAAGACGCTCTCCGTACTTCGGCAATGGGGAAAACCATAAATAAGTGGGTCCCTACTCACTCTCGGATGTGACAAACCATCGCGCGCCTTTCCCATGGACCAAAAAAATTCCCCGTGTCAACCTCCTCCTCCCCAAAAAAAAGGCTTTGGAGAACACAGGACAAGCCTCTCGCTCTCTCTGTCTACCCACAATGCTTCCAAGCAGAGCAATCATTCGCTCCCTTCCCTCTGCGGGAGCCCAAGGGCAGAAGCTGAGTGTATGTTGTTGCTGCCAGTACCTTCTTGGGTAGACTCCTTAGCTGACCCTCGAAATCGAATTGAAACAGGCTGCTATCCCGAGGACAGCACTTGGCAACGGGCGACGATACGGAACGGTCTCCCAAACACTGGGAAGGAGCATCGGTGGCGGCAGCGGCAGCGGCAGCAGCAGCAGGATTGGACTAAACCTTTACCCGAGGATGTCGAGGCCTGCCATGGCCGTCGGTATGGGAACCGTGGCGTCGACAAGAAACCTCTCGCTTCCCAGCTTCTGGTCCTCCAAGAAACCCGTCCAAGAGGAAGCCGCCGCGGCTGCCAACTCCACCGCCGCTCCAGGGCAGCAAGCCACGACGACTACGACACCATCACCTGTCGCCGAAAGCGCCCCCGTCGAAGCCGTGACTGCGACCCCGCCCATCGATATCGCTGCTTCTTCTGCTGCCGCCACGCCCGGGCCAGAGCAGCTGTCCGTCATAGGCGACCTGGTCAACAGCAGCGGGAGCGAGATCCTCAGCCGAGCCGAGGACATAGGCTACCTGGCGTCGCTGGGTTTGGACTACGGCTTCGGCCCCACGTCCGCGATGCAGTGGGTGCTCGAGCACGTCCACGTGTGGGGTGGCGTGGGCTGGGCGGGAGCCATCGTCTCGACGGCCATGATCCTCCGCGTGGCCATGTTCTACCCCACCGTCAAGTCGACGCGCTTCAGCGCCGACATGAAGCGTATGCAGGAGGACCCACGCTTCCCGCAGACGACCGAGATGCTCAAGCTAGCCATCCGCGACGGCGACCGCACCGCACAGGCACAGGCACAGGCCCTCAACGGCATCCTGCGCAAGGAGTACGACGTCCCCATGAGGAGGATGCTATGGAGCTTCCTGCCCATCCCCTTCAGCTACGGTCTCTTCCGCATCGTCACTGGCATGACGCACATACCCGTGCCCTCGCTCGAGACCGGCGGCTGGCTCTGGTTCACCGACCTTACCGTCGCTGACCCTTACATGGTTCTGCCCGCCATGGCTACCGTTCTCATGGTTGCCGCCATTGACGTATGTTGCTCCCCTCTCTCTCTCTCCCCTCCCTCTCTCTCCCTCTCCCTCTTCCCGACATCCCAGCTAACGCCCAGAATCAGATCAACGCTGCCAACTCCCCCAAGTCGCAGCAGGGCATGGTCAAGATGATGAAATACATACTCGTCCCCGTCATGCTCTTCGGAACCTCTTTCCTCTCCGCCGCCGTAAATCTGATGGGTGTGTCGTTTGGTTTTGCCACCCTCATCAACACCGTCATCCTCAACAACAACGCTGTCCGCCGTTCCCTCGGCATCCCCGAGCTTCACCGTGCCCAGAAGCTCCCTGCATCCATCCCCACCACTGCCCTCGCCGGCTCGGCCGGCTCTGCCACCTCCGCCCAGAAGCTCATCTATGAGCCCCCCCGTCCCCAGCAAGCCATCAGCCTCCGCGAACAGTTTTCCCGTCAGCTCGACGACGCCAGGAAGGCTGCTACCGAGAAGATGAGCAACTTGACCGGTCAGGCTGGCGTTTCCGCCCAGGACAAGGCCGAGAAGAAGCGCAAGGAGCAGCTCCGTAACCTCGAAGCTAAGCGTAGGGCTCAGGAGCGTGAACACTTTGAATCCAAGTACAAGGGCAAGAGGTGAACTCAACCTCTCTAACCAGGGCATTTTTCCTTCCTGGCTCTTGATACTTTCTCCTTTGATCCAATTATTTGGCGTGTACGAAAACAAAATAGAAAGAGGACGCATATTTTGTTGGTAGTTTCTTGTATAAAAATATAATCATCCAGGGAGAGATCCGCGTCGGATAGATAATTTGTAACAATACAATTATTATTATTATTTTTTTGGCTATGAACAATCTTCCTTCTCTCACCGTTGTAGATTGTCTTCTTCCATAAAAATAGGGAAATAAATGGTATTTGTATTTACAAGGGCGTATATCCCCCAGGATTATCTCGAATGTGCCTGCATCTACTGCTACGTCAAGTAGCATTAAACCTGACTGGGGATATCTCAGAGTACTACTGCTAGTAAAGGGCTATTCCAATGGTATCAATCATATATTCATTTGATTTACCCCGAGACAGATTTAAACGTGTCTCCAAGAAGGAGAGTGGTATCCAAATGAAAAGAAAAGGAAAGAATAACGAGAGTAAGACAGCAACATTAAAAGACGGTTCCGTCACTGTCAATGAGGATAGGCGGTTCTTTGGTATTAGGGCGATTGATTTCGGCAATTTCACGACCACCCTGGTAAAATGTTAGTTTTCGTCGTCTCTCGGACTCATGATATTGGGCAGAGATAAACATGCCTTCCAGCTTCCAGCCTCTAGAAGCTGCTGTAGCGTCATCTGGTTCCCAGCAAGGTCTTTCTTGAGAACCATGTTAACATCCAGGCACAGACGGTCGAGTAGACCGATCGTCGCAGCCCTCCACTCAACCACGACGTCATCACCCGTCTCAAACATGGGTGCCACTTCAATCCCCTTGGTGTTCGTTCGGCGGCAGTAGTCGGAGTAGTTCTCCAGACCGCGGTCCATGTCGTGGCTCTTGAGGTTGAGGACGCCCAGGTCGACGAACAGACCACCGTTGCGGTACTCGGGCAGGCCTGTGAGCAGCTCGGTACCGGCGAAATGGATGCGTAGGAGCGACTGCATGGGCTGCATAACCGAATAGGCGAGCCACTGGGTCAGCTTGTGGAAGGGCAAGATAGTCTCCCAGTCACCACCGTTTTCTCGAGGCATGGACTGGCATGGCCAGGCATCACCCAAGGGAATGCCGTTGACGGATGTGCGCGACTGGGGCCAAATGGATGATAAGCCATTGATGAGGATATTCCAGAGGACTGTCAGAGGAACAATAGGCATCGAAGAGGCCTGCGTCGACGGGTGTGATAGGATGTGGTCTGGTCCGGGACAAGTAAGCAGATGAACGAGACAAAGGAAGCAAGCAAGCTGGAAAAGGGGTGGATGGACAAAGCCTAACATACCAACCATGTGTCCTGGACGACCATCGCCGCCGAAAAATTCATTCTTCTCCTCAAGAGCCTCGGCCAACTTGATCAGCAGCTCTGCTCGACCCTCTACACCGACGATCTCATTTCCTGGGCGCGACTGCAGACCGGCAGCCAGCTTCTCGGGAGTAAGAGCCCGAAGACCAACCTTGTCGACTTGCGCCCTGTTGGAGGAGTCGCCGGAAAAGAGGCCCTGCAGTCAAGATATCAGTACATGTTGGCAGCAGATACATGTTGGCAACAGACTCAGAAGCCACCAGCAGGTCATGAAACTTTAAAAGGGAGCTGAACTAACAGATTTAAACATTTCCAAGCTAGCAATGGCAATGCCCTCAGAGCGGCGGTATACCCTGCCGTTGTCCGAGCTCTTGTAAGACCACTCTGTACCCGCGCCGGCGTCAATGAGGACGCTGACGAGGAAGAGGTCGATCAAGCGCCTACAACGTTCAGTGTTATCCACCTCGGACGGCCAGGTAGAGAGGAGCTGGGCGATGCGGTCGCGACCGCCGACGCAAAAGTGCTGGTAGCGGCTGTGAGGTGGTATGCTGGTATAGGGGGCGTCGAAATCTCTCTACAAGACTCGGGTCAGTTTATCAATACACGCAATATGTAGGCTCCGAGCTGGGTTCGAGAGGATTCGGGAGTAAACATACCCTGATCAATCGAGTGACGAAAGATACGACATCAGACATCTTGTCCATGTCGACGTCAAAGTGAGCCAGGTCGTCTCGCAGAGCCTTCTCGTATATAACTTGGCTGCGCTCCCTGACAGCCACTAGACTACGAAGATATCCGGCGGGGTCAAGGTTGGGATCGGGCGGGCGCGGCATATCCATCTTGGGCATCTTGACGGGACCCCTGGGCGATATTAGAGGGGGACTGCTGATACTGCTGGTGCCATTGGTGGCGCTCCCGGCAGAGGTTCTCTTTGCCCAGCTCATGGAACCGGCCGAGTGGACGCTCGAGTTGGAGTAGGATGTGTTTAGGGGGGCGGGTGTAGACTGCAGGTCCGCCTTTGCAATCTTGTCTCTACGAGAGAAGAGGCCCATGGTGATATCGGTGGGGAGGTGGTGACCTCGGCGGGAGGGGAAAGGGCGTTCCTGCGGTTTCAGAGACCGCGTGCTGGGAGGGGGAGGGGGGCGAGGCAAGGAAAGGGCCTATCGAAGATGAGATTATCGTCTCTTGCTGGTGTTTTGTCAACTCTTTGTGCGACCAGACGGGATAGAAAAAGAGCGAGCCGAGGAAGCAAGCGAGTGTCTTGGGGGGGGACGCGTTGGTGGAGAATGAGCGACGACGGCGGCGGGGCAACAATGCTGGAGTCGAGATGCAGTGGATCCTCTTGGAGAAGTAGGGGGTGGATGATGTTGAGAAAAAAGCAAAGTGCCAAGGAGGAGAGGAGAAAAAGAAAAGAAGAAAGGATGGAATGGGAGAGGGTCGGAAAGGTGTGAAATGTGGCCGGCAGTCCCAGTCAGTTGAGGGTCAAGGGGCGATAGGGAACGAAAGAGGAGGGGAAAATCTACTCAGACAGAGAAGGTATGAGGCAGAGTTAACTAACAAAACGGGAAGGAACAACTGGAGGCAAGAATCGTGGAGATGTCTAGGACGCTGTACGAGGGTCGAGTTACTGTAGTAGTAGTCGATTGTAATCTGTACAGATTACATGTAATGGTACAAGTATCAAGTACGAATAGTTGGTAGGTACTACGGGGTAGTAATAATAACATACAGGTCAATCGATGGTATTACCATGATACCATGATACAATAATTCCCGTTCTATAAGACTCTAGTCTAGGGTAATACGTGTAATGATGATGTCTAGGAGTACGAGTATTGCAGGTAAAACGGCAGCAGAGAGTAATACCGTAGTCTATCGTATGAAAATCAGCAGTCATTATCGACTTTTGTGCGAGTACGTACTCAACTCATCCTCGTAAACCCTCAGGGGTCAGACCACTCCCATGCTACTACCGCTGCGTCGGTGCTCGACCCATGCGCTCTCTGGGCTCTTTAGGCCTTTCCATCCTTGAGGCGGCGGGGTATTGGCCGAGGAGCTAAGAGTAGCGCGCAGGTTGCCCCTGGCCAAAGTGGTCCCAGGCTACATGTACGAAGAACGGATGGAGACTGGAGTCCGACGTACATGCACGGAGAGTATCACAACTTCTATAACGTAATATAGAAGATACAAGACTAGGCAAGTAATTTCTTGGCTCAGCCATGTATCAGTCGTGGACGGTCGTGGGAGTAGGAGACGTTTACGAAGTATTACGAATAATACCTTATAGATACGTCGTAGATGATGGCGGCGTCGCAATTAAACACCTCATCCATTGGATGCGTGAGCTATCGACAAGACAAGCTAAGACCTGAACAGATTACGGATACAGGTTGATACCCGTAGTCCCATAGGTACCTATGTAATCTGTACTGACCTGACCGACCGACCTACAGCCTACCACTACTCATCTGCTACTGACCTGCTAACCGGACCTAGTACCACGTTTGGTACGCTGTAGCCGGCTGCTAGCATGCTAGTGCCCAGGTGGACCGGTCTCTACCACTCGGACGTCCAAGAGTCAGGCACAGCGCTGTGACTGGTCGGCCCCTAGCCGTCTACTGAACGGAGGGCTGTCAATCTCTCTATCCGCATCCACTAAAGAACAGGGAATAATTAGTGCTCGGATGCACTGCTAAGTCGGCCCCCTGTGATATACCTGTACGAGTACGGAGTACTTGCGCTGTCATAATACCGTGGTTTGACATGTTTTGCGAGGATTTTCCATGACAAGTGACTGCCCGGGTGATGATTCCTCATTACGCCATTGTTGCATTCACTGCCAGGGAGGTAATAACTCTGATGGACGTTGTATCCGTACTGATGTGCGACAGAGTAATAGCAGGAGCATTGCCTACTGTACTGACAGTCGTAGTAATACTCTGTAGCTGTCGATGGTGCTGCTGCACTGAGTAAGAGAAGTCAGAGACGATGACGTAAGGTATTGTGTGTACTCACAGCACAAGTTGAAAGCACAAGGCCCCCCTCCTCTCACTCTTCTTTCTTCTTCACCTTCCTTTCTTCTCCGCCTTCCTCCCGCCCTCCTCCTTCTCCGCCTCCTCTCCTTCTCGGCTTTGGTAAGCCGCTATCGCCCTAACCTACCGGTACATTGCGAGTCGACGGTGCTACCGAGCAAAGCCCCCTGCGAATCCCCCCCCCCCCACGGATCCCTGTCCCGGTCGTTTTATCCGCTCGCCCGGTCCTGGATACCACACCGGGATCTCCTCCGAGAGAACCATCTTGAGCTCCATAGGTTGACCTGTCCTACGCATACCCTGATACTCATACGCATACAATCTACAAGTATCGTTACTACTACGAGGACAGTTTGTAGTACTCCGGACTCGTACCGTATCTGTATGTTGTATGTCTCGTATGGGGAACCTTTGCCGTACACGGTACAGGCAGCATTCACCATCCTCAGACCTCCCCTCAGAGCCCTAAGCAACCGAGTTCATCCACATGCCGCTTCTCCCCAAATTAAACGTTTCGACGGGCCCCGGGCACTACGGGACTTTATGCCCTGTTTTCGCCACTTCTGGCCCTGACTTGCAGCGGCCCCTGGTCTCTACTCTTCTCCCGGGGAACATCATTCGCTGTTCTTCAGTCCTCGGCGACCTATAGGCTACGACGAGTTATTACGGATACTCGTACGACTAAAAAAGATCTGATAGAAGTATCACTGCTAACCCGTAATGCCCCTTCTTCCCGCCCCTGACAGGAACCATACGGTTGACCACAATGGCTCGCTCCGACTCATGGATACCAAAGGGCGGTTGAGTACGACGTATTATTACAGTCTACGAGTATTCATGCATGTGGGAGTCCAAACATGTGAACCGTCTCACATGCAGCAATCACCTACCGACATGCAACCTGCAGATACTATGCGCCGTACGTAATTCACAGATAATACTTACCTGCATATGCCATATGCCATATATGATATCGCTTCTTCTTGCTCCTCTTCCCCTCCCGCAGGCTAGGCCTTAGGGTGATGACGACCTGCACGCGCCCAGCAGCCAAGATTACCGAGACACATGCACGTGTCCAGCACACCTGAGAGCATGGCCGAAGGTCCCAGTGACTGGGGAGCATTGGACAAGGATGGTTGACGGTACCAGCAAGGTGCTAATTAATACCACACGCGCGGGATCGTTGTCATGACAGTTGCACCAGCATATCCCATCACGATTCGTTCCGCAGCAAGCACTTCCAATTCGACCCGAGTTCTCTTCACGCCAAGAGCCAAAAGGTCGAACTCGTTCCCTCATCTTCTTCCGTGGCAGTTTCGGAGTGTTACAACGACTCTACGCAAATGAGTTCCATTGGACCGGGGAGAGAGAGATCAGGTAGCAAAGAGCAAATGAGAGTGGGAAGAGAAAGAAAAAGAAAGAACGAAAAACCACTGGCCTGGCTACCGGAGACTCGGTAACTTTTCTTTTGCGCCCCCCCCTGCAGCATGTGCCGCGCGAGATATTACGTGACGATACCGCGTGGTTCAGTCCTGCTCTACCGCCCTGGACCGCCAAAGTTTAATTGTCACGGATATATTCGAATGGACATTATATTCTGTGCTGCTACAGGTGGTGGCTAGATGAAGAATACAGATTATATGGAGCTTGGATCCATGATCGTCGCGGCCCCAATACTCAGACTTGTTGCAAGCATCACTGCTGGAAATTACAACCATGACAACGTCATCTAGGTTGAAAGACTTGATGATATTCCCTTCTGCCTCTTCTCCGGTACCATACCATAGGGACGATGAAATGAAATTATGAGAGGCAATGAAATCCAAACATGGCTCAAATGACGGAAACCGACACTCCAAGGGAAAGCAGAAGATTAGCCCACAATCATAGACGTGTTGACCGGAAATATCGGTCCAGGGTATCCGACCACCCCAACCGTTGAAGATACCCGGCACCGAACATTGTGTGCTTCCTACTAGCGACAGCTCACGATGACCCGTAGACGTGAATACAGCGGTCTCTGCCCGCTGGCACGTCCTGAGTCGATATATGTGTGTCCTGGTGCTTGATTGTTCAAAAGGAAAGGAAATCTATCCATGAGGTTATCTACAGATGTGAGTGTGGGAGCAGCCTCTGGCTGCTTAGTCATATATACTTGGGTGCCACAATTGAACTCGTATGATCATCCCAGAGTTGAGCTGTGGTTAATGAAGTGTTGTGATTATGAATCCTGGACGTCGTTGTCGGTCCTGATCCACCATGACGACCTGACGCATGCGTCTCTTCGATGGGGCCCTACGGGCCAGTACAGGGACTAGGTTGTGACGAAGGACGCCCTCAGGGGAATGAAGCTGGGTCTCCCTTGGAACCCGTACTGGTGGTCTACGATACCCTGGGCGTGAGTCTTGGAATACATCCTCCTACACTATCAAGTCTTATGTACATATGCCCACACACCGAAAGATCGCCAACGCTCCTGTGGAGAGAGAGATGTGTGAGGAGCGCGTCGAGGAGCTCCGCGCCGCCGGAGCCCATATCCACGACATCACTGTAGGTCTTGCTACAGCCCCCCCCTCCCCCCTATGTAGAATATTCCCACGCGACGACCCGCGCCACGGCGTGTCTAGCCTGATGGAGATGGCAGCGTGTAACGTGGTGCACAAGACGTCGACCGGTGCCACTGGACAAGACGACGTGGCGGTCCAACACCGAGTTCGAGTGGGATTTCTACGACAACGCCACCTCACCAACGGTAACTGGACGACAACGCCTTCTGGACGGCCTTTGGCTGTGGGAGGCGCACTGCGCAGTCCGTCGTCGACAGCGCCCTGGCTCACGAGGACGATCACGGCCGCGTCGTTGAGCTCGACGGATTGATGGTCACTAGCGGCTTGGCCGGCGGCCAGGATAGCACCTACTCGTGCCGTCGTCCTATGCCGGGTACCCCATCACCTTGGTGGCCATCGGCCAGAGCGGGTACGGTGTCCCCAGTGCTCTCTGCGTCTATGGCGGACAGTACTCTGAGCATGGGCTTGTGTGCGCCATGTCGGCCATGTCGGACCTCTTCCACCCGAAGGTCAGGCCGCAGTGGCACAAATGGAAGGCGGCCGAGGGGTCTTGAGAGGACGTATGGCTCGTGTATACCTGCTCTACTGGGTCGTTTGACAAGTATGCTTGCGAAGCGTAAGCACGCATGAAAGAATGAATGAACAGATGGAAATGATGTACTTTTAAAAATAATAAATAATAAATAATGGAGTCTTGAGTCGAAATAAAACCATCATAAACTGATAGTGTAAACATGGATACAGCCCCTGGTGTCCCTCACTCCCGACGCCCCATTGCCAACATCGAAGATCAGTACTAGTGTTGCTTCTCACTGATCGACAATTCGAGCGTGCTGGCTCCCCGCGAAGCAATTGTTCACAATCTGAATAGTACTGCTGGTACGTATAGTACTATCTTATTCCACCCATCGATAGTCAGCATGGTGCATCGCGACGGGATTGTCCGTAGATTGCAAACCTACCGGACCTGGATTATGGCCCCTCTCCTCCACGCGATATCTGCCTTTTTCTTCTTCTTCTTGTTCCTGTTGTCTCGGCGTGCTCTTTCGTGCCACGAATCCGGAGGAGATTCGATATTGACGTATAGACTCGAGCGGCTTTGTTGAACTATGCAATTAGGTCGGCTACGTTCATGGGCATCTCGTCAATCTGGGTTGAGTAGTACACTGTTGAGAGAGTTAGAAGGCGGTACTGGGAAAGTGGAGAAGGAAGAAGGAAGAGGAGATACAAGGAGGGTATTGGTTTGAAGGGAAAGAACTTACACTCGATATCACGCAGGATACGAACATCCTCGGTGGTGACGAAATTGATAGCGACACCCTTGCGCCCAAAGCGACCGCTACGACCGATACGGTGAATGTAGTTCTCGCGGTTGCTAGGCAGATCATAGTTGATGACGAGGCTGACCTGCTGGACGTCTATGCCGCGAGCCCAGACGTCGGTGGAGATGAGGACGCGGCTGTTGCCTTGGCGGAAGTCTTGCATGATGCTGTCGCGCTCCTTCTGGGGCATCTCGCCGTGCATGCTGCTGACGGTGAAATTTGCGTCGCGCATCTTGTCGGTGAGCCAGTCGACCTTGCGGCGGGTGTTGCAGAAGATGACGGCCTGGGTGATGGTGAGGGTGTCGTAGAGGTCGCACAGCGTGTCGAACTTCCAGTCCTCCTTCTCAACGGCGATGAAGTACTGCTTGAGGCCCTCGAGGGTGAGCTCGTCGCGCTTGACCAGGATGCGCACAGGGTCCGTCATGAACTTGGTCGTCATGTCCAGCACATCGTAGGGGAGTGTGGCGCTGACGACGACGACCTGCGTCGCCGGCGGCAGGTACCGGTATACGTCGTAGATCTGTTCCCGGAACCCCTTGTTCAGCAGCTCGTCCGCCTCGTCGAGCACCAGCATCTTGATGTGCCGCGTCCGTAGGTGTCGCCGCCGGATCATGTCCGCCACCCGGCCGGGCGTCCCCGATACAATGTGCTGCCCGTAGTCTAACTTCCGGATGTCCTCGCCCACGTTGGTCCCGCCGATGCACGCGTGGCACTGCACGTTCATGTAGTCACCCAGGGCCATGACCACCGACTGGATCTGCGTCGCAAGCTCGCGCGTCGGCGACAGCACGAGCGCCTGCGTCTCTCGCACCGCGGTGTCGATAACCTGCAGCATGCTGATGGAGAAAGTTGCCGTCTTTCCCGTCCCCGACTGGGCCTGGGCGATCGTGTCGCGTCCCTTGCACACCTGGACGATTGCTCGCGACTGCACTGCCGATGGCGACTCGTACCCGTATGCGTAGATGCCTCGCAAGAGGTTCTCTGCGTGCACAGTGTTCATGTCAGCCCGGTCCCTATTCGCGTCTTACTTCCCTCTCCTCTCCTTCCAACTCTCAAAGATTCTTAGTCCTTTCAGGTAGTCGTCGGAACTTACCCTTCAACGACATGGCCTCGAACGTGGGGTGCACCGTCACCTCCTTGGACGTCGAGAACTCCATCTTCTCGTCCGCCCTGCGGTCAATTCCACCTCCTCCTTCGGCCATTGCGTCGTAATACTGTGTGGTGGTTTGGGAGAAATAGGAGACTGAAGAGGAACAAGTCGGTTTGTTGCTTGTTTGTTCTGTCCTTCTATCAGATCCGAGGTCACGTCACACCCACCAGACTCCAGGAAATTTTAGCTCGCCTGCGCCGGTATTTCTTCGGCTCTATACCTACGCCACCAATTCTGCCGGCGAAACGCGCCCTGAATTGCTTCAACTTTTTCGTCATCATCACCTTTTCTACGCCATCTTCCACTCCCCCTCCTTCTCGTGTCCCTTTATTCACTTGAACGACTCTCCCACATTCCAATTGCTTATTTGCGCTTGTCCCCGCCTCTCTATAGAAGATGTTCGTCCTGGAGGAGCAACGTTATATCCACGAGGACCTGGAACGTCTAGAGCAAGGAATCGCGGACCGCCTCCATGATGACCCCAAGCATGTAGGTTCAATCCGGTTCTTCTGTATCAGCAGACCTGCTTGCTGACATAATTGTTCTTGACAGATCCGCGACCGTCTAGAGCGGGACCATGAGGTTTCGCAGCTCCTTGACCAGATCCAAAGCCAGTCTAGCAAGCTGATTGACATCTACAAAGACGAGACCGGCGCGCGCGCGAGCGAGATCCAGCAACTCGGCACGGACGATCCCTTCGAGGAGTTTTACAAGCAGCTCAAGGATGTGCGGGACCACCACTTGAGGTACCCCAACGAGCAGGCCGAGAATTCGGAGCAGCGATACAAGCCGCGCAGGCCCGCCGAAGGCGAGGTGCTGCCCTCCATCGTCGACACCCTCTTTTCCGGCGAGGAGGCCTACGGTCGCTTCTTCGACCTAAACATGTGCCACGAAAGCTACCTCAACCTGCCCAACGTCAAGCGTCTGTCTTACCTGCAGTATCTCGAGGCATTCGACAACTTTGCGCCTGGCGCCAGTGGCCTCAAGAGGGGCGACAAGCTGACAGACCAGTACTTCAAGTACGTGGGCGAGCTGGCGAGCTACCTCGAGTCATTTATGCGGCGGACAAGGCCCCTGGAGAATGTGGACAAGATGTTGGAGACCTTCGACGACGAGTTTGATGTCGTGTGGAACAAGGACGAGGTGGAAGGGTGGCAGCAGGAGAAGCTGGCCGACGAGTCCTCGGCCGCCGCCAAGGATACCAGCTCCGCCGAGGCCGTGTGGTGCGCTGATTGCGAGAGGGAGTTTAAGAATGAAAATGTCTACAAGAACCATCTCACCGGACGAAAACACATCAAGGCCGCAGAGCAGCGCAAGTCCCGACTGAACGAGGGATCAACTGACGACAAAACGACGGCCAACGGCACATCAGCAAGGGGACCGTCCGCAACAAGGCTCAAGGAGAAGGCGGTGGCGGAGCGCGAGAACCGCGTCAAGCGCCTGGCGGCAGCCATGAGCACGGAGCGCAGCGACACCCGCGTCAACGTCGAGCGGAAGCAGGGCATGACGGAGCGCGAGCGCCAGCAAGAGCTCGAGAACTTCCTCAACTCGTCATCCGAGGGTGCTCTGGCCCGCGGGTATGTCAACGGAGGCGGCGAAGGTGACGAGGACGACGAGGATGGCGAGGAAAAGATCTACAACCCCCTCAAGCTCCCACTCGCGTGGGATGGCAAGCCCATCCCCTTTTGGCTGTACCGCCTGCACGGTCTGGGCGTCGAGTTCCCCTGCGAGATCTGCGGAAACTTTGTGTACATGGGTCGCCGTGCCTTTGACAAGCACTTCAACGAGGCCCGTCACATCTACGGCCTCAAGTGCCTGGGCATCAGCAGTGCGCACCTGTTCCGCGACATTACAAAGATTGACGAGGCCATGAGGCTGTGGGAGAAGATCCAGCGCGAGAGGAGGAGAGTGAATGTTGACGACGGGAGCGTTGTGCAGATGGAGGACGCGGACGGTAACGTCATGCCTGAAAAGGTCTATTACGATCTCCAGAAGCAGGGTCTCCTGTAGAGGCAATAGAGACGGAGAGAGAAACAAAAAGAAAGAAAGCGGTGTAATATTGAACATATAGGAGTTTGGGGGTATACTCTTTTTTTTCTTCACTTGTCTGGGGACTTGTATATATAGCAATACCATTCTTTTTTTCAACTTTGCTTCTACTACAAGATCATTCACATACCTATACTGGTACAAGTATCATGCTTTGTTGTCTTTTAATTGATTCCGTATTCATACTTGTACGACTGTATGCCGGTTCTTTCGTCTTGAATGTGGCTTACATAAGACGATTTCTGTACGTTCTTCTACTACTGGGCGCGCGACGAGCTCCTTTCCAATGACGAAACAATCAAATTTGGCGACAGTCACGAAACGAAACAGCTGACGCGTGTTTTGTGTACCCGGGATACAGATCGCTGCGCATAGCCACATGATGTCCTAGTTCTAACGCAACCCCTCGACAAAGGGATAGGAGAAGAAGCATGACACCACAGGCGAAACCTCCTGCACCCCTTCCAGCCCTATACACGGTATACGTGCTGCGGTCGACGGTGCGACGAGCATCTCTATATATCGGATCGACGCCCAACCCTCCTCGACGGCTGAAGCAGCACAATGGCGACGCCAAGGGTGGCGCGGCGCGGACGTCGCGGGATACACTACGGCCTTGGGAGATGATTGCTCTCGTGTCGGGGTTTCCCAGCATGGTAGCGGCGCTCAAGTTTGAGTATGCTTCTTCTCGTCTCTTTCTTTTCCCTTTTTATGCAGAAAGATGACATGACCGGAAAACGAGATGAAGAGAAGGAAAGGGAAAAGAAAAAAAAAAATACAGCGGCTAACCAGGACAGATGGGCATTGACAAACCCTCACCTGTCGCTACATATCCCCGACGAGGCGCGCATCGCCACATCAACGCAGAGAAAGCGAAATGGCATGCCGAAACGGCCACCGCACACCCTGAGGTCCATCATGTCCAACATACACCTTCTCACTGGGGTGCCTAGCTTCGTCAAGTGGCCGCTCAACCTGCACTTCATGGCCAGGGATGCGCGGTCGACGTGGGACGAGTGGCTCCGGTCGAGCGACAAGAGTGCACGGGGAGGATTGAAAATCTACGAAGACTTTGGGCCGGACGTGCCATCGTCCAAGTCTGCAGCAGCACCACCGGCGCACGGTATTCACGCCTTACCGCTTGACTACACGCCCATGATAGAGTACGTGGCAAAGGCGCACGGCGTGGTGTCATTTGAGCAGGAGGGAGAATGTGTTCACTGTGAGCAGACGTTGGAGTCTGGAGGTGGACTGCATCCCATGTGTCCCCACGCCGGATGCGATGCCATGGGTCATCTTACCTGCTGGGGAGATGGGGCACGGCGAGCCGCAGATGATGAGAGGAGTGTGCTGCCCAGCGCGTGTGTATGTCCGTCGTGCGGGGGGGAGATACGATGGGGCGATATGATGAAGGAGCTCAGTCTGCGTGTCAGGGGACAGAAGGAGGTTGAGAAGCTGCTCAAAAAGAAGAAGAGGATTGACAAGGTGGCGGCGTCCCAATCTCAAGCATGAGAGTTCTTTTTCACCAGGGTATAGTGTATGCATGTGTACCAACGTAGTTTTTTTATGTGATCAACGAGATGTTATTGAAAATCATTATGAATTACTATGGCATTCGAGCAATGATAAAATAAAATGGCAATAACGAACAAATGCATATACCAGGAATATATGCGCTTCAATCACCATGCCTCGAAGTGATTTGCGTCGGCAATGAAGTGTGGAAGCGGGTCGGATGTCGTCCTCAGTGGATCCCCCTGGAGTGCCGTGGCCTTGTAGGTTCCAAGCGACTGGAGATTGCCGGATACCGAGAGGCGCCGAGGAGGGGAAGAGGGGTTACGTAAGATCAGATATGGTAAAAAAAAAAGGAAGGACGGAAAAATAAGAGAGAAGGGAAAATGAAAAAAAAAAAAAAAAAAAAAAGAGGAAGGGACAAGAGCCATGATTGGAGAGAAAAGAATAATATAGGCCACAAGTGTGAGTGGAACGAAGAAGCTTCCTGGATAAAGAGAAAGAAGTCCCGGGTTCGGTGGGACGGAGATGTTGGTTTGAGGGCTGAGGCAAATTATGGGGACACAACGGAGTAGATGCATTACTAGAGAACTATTACATACGAGTACGAGTAAAGATTTTTAAAAAAAAGGTATTACTGGTGGTAATGGGCTCTATCAATCAATACTGTACGAGTATTACCTCGTACATGTACAATAGCACCGATTTAAACGGTTGTAGCATTCTCCTTGTACGGCTACCGAGTAGTAGCTGTAATGAGTGTTAATGGTAGAATAGTACCAACATCAAGCGAATTACCCGGTACCCAAGATATCCAGTCACGTGTTTCATTTTATAAGTACTGGATACCTGAGGCAGCGTACATCTAATGCCGCGTGCATCACCAACTCTCCCGCAGGAGCGGACCATCCACTCTTGTACCCAGTACAGCGACTCGCGCACTCGAAAGCTACGTACCCAGGTATCGCACCAGGCCCTGCTCATGCTCATGCCTGTCGGTGATGGTGCGTGTCGCTAACTTCCGCCCTTCCTCACTCCGTCCGTCGTCGTCTCTCTCCCTCTCTCCATCCTCTTCCCTCTCTCTCTGCCTCATTTGGCGCGCCGGCAGACGTAATATCCACACACACACACACACACACACACCATCAACCCTCGTGTGACACTTTCCCACCCCTCACTCGACATACTTCTCTTCATTTCATTCCATTCCTTTTTTTTATATCTTTACTTTTATAAAACGTTTCACCTTCGCTCCCGTCAAGTATAAAAAACTGTGAGTTGTTGGGATCGTCCGTGTTACCGTGTTAGTGGCTTTCGTGGAGACTCATCCGGTCACCATTCGCCTGCAAGAAAGAGAAGGAAAGCTCTCTCGAATGCACGCAGACACATCTTCCTCCTTTGACGGGTGAAATTGCTATGAGGAGTTCCTTTCTGACTCTATAGGGAAAACAAGATAATACGCGAGATATCGCCGTCCACTTTCAACCATCGCCCCTCGACGCTAGCATGCATCATCAACTATAGTCTTTTCGCGTATGGAAACCCCGAACAAGAGTGGCCTCTCTCTGACCAGACTTGTCGACATCGCGCCTTTCGTATAACCGTTCTCTCCTTTCTATCAATTGCATGCGCTCTACCGATTGAACCATCCGACACATCCATCTGCGCTAGCCATGGGCTCTACCCCGATCGCTGGCGCCACGGCCAGTGCTGCCCCCAATGCCAATAGCCGCAACGCCAGCGCGAGGAGTTCGCCCGCCGTCGGTGGCCCTGGTGCCAACGGCTCCTTGCCCAAAGATAAGATCAACTCCAACGGATACCACCCCGCGAACCCCCACAAGCCCCTCAGCACCCTCGTCAGCCCGCCCCTGGACATGTCGACAGTCGAGCGTCGCGGCCAGCCAAGCGCCGTCCCAGAACCTACCAAGCCTCGCATCCGGCCCCTGGGCATCGAGGAGGCCCCGACATACTTCCCCACCGAAGCCGAGTTTCGTGATCCACTGGAATACATCAAGAAGATCTCGCCAGAGGCCTCGCGCTACGGCATCTGCAAGGTCGTCCCGCCCGATTCGTGGAACCCTACGTTTCCCATTGATACCGAAGTATGCTTGACACCCCGTCCTTCGTGCTACATGTCAATTAACCGCCATCACTGACACGTATCCGTAGAAATTCCACTTCAGAACTCGAAAGCAGGAGCTCAACTCAGTCGAAGGAAGTGAGTGATTCTTCTTGTTCCCGCATGCCCGCAGCCCCAATGTTCCAGCCCCTGCCATTGTGTGTTCTAACCCCAAACGACTGCAGGCACGAGGGCCAATCTCACATACCTGGACGGTCTCACGAAATACCACAAACAGCAGGGCAGCAATCTTCATCGCCTGCCGTATGTCGACAAGAAACCCCTCGATCTGTACCGACTCAAGAAGGCTGTCGAATCCCGCGGAGGCTTTGATAAAGTCTGCAAGCTCAAGAAGTGGGCTGAGATTGGTCGTGATCTTGGGTATAGTGGCAAGATCATGTCATCGCTGTCGACATCGCTGAAGAACTCGTATCAGCGCTGGCTGTGCCCTTACGAAGACTATCTGCGCGCTGCCAAGCCTGGTGTCCACCAACAGCTGGAGGCAGAATATGGCGGGCCCTTGACCCCTAGCCCTGCAGTCACCCCGGTCAAGAGGTCTACCGTCAACACGCCCATGGGGACCGGCGGGAACTCGCCGACACAGCAGACCTCCGATGTCCTGCAGACGGGTCTCAACGGTATCAAGGACGAGGCGCACGACACGCCCATGCCCGATGCCAGACCTTCGCCCGTTGCTCGCGTCCCCTTGCCTGGGTTCGCCACCGTCAATTCCGGCTTCACCAGCGTCAACCGTCCTGCCAACCGAGATAGCCTCGGCTTGACGCCCGAACCCGCCCGCAACGGCACCCCTGCAGCGTCTGCCAGAAACACACCCGAGGCGCGCCCGTCGGCCCTGGGCTCTGCGGCCGTGCTGAAGCGTCAGCAGAGCTGCGACAGCCTCTCCGAATCAGCCAAGAAGGACGCCGAGGCCGACAGTGCAGAGGGCTCTAACCGCCGAAGCAAGCGACTCAAGCGAGAGGTCGCTCCCACCGTGGCCGGCTCATACATGTCGCAATTTCGCCCCTCAGTGCCCCGCGTCCCGCGCGAAGAGGATATCCCCGTCGGCGAGAAGTGTGCGACGTGTGGGAAGGGCGACAGTGGTGAACAGCTCATCGAGTGCGAATCATGCGACAACTCGTACCACCTGCAGTGCCTGGACCCACCCCCGAAGCGTAAGCCCGATGCGGAGTGGAACTGCCCGCGCTGCCTAGTTGGCGACGGATACTTTGGCTTTGAGGAGGGAGGCCTGTACTCGCTGAAGCAGTTCCAGCAAAAGGCCAACGACTTCAAGCAGGGCTACTTCGAGGCCAAGATGCCATCCGACCAGAAGGGCGATGGCCACCGCCCCGTCACCGAGGAGGATGTGGAGAATGAGTTCTGGCGGTTGGTGACGGACCTGGAGGAGACCATCGAGGTCGAGTACGGTGCCGACATTCACTGCACCACTCACGGGTCCGGCTTCCCGACGCTCGAGCGCCAACCCAGCGACCCTTACTCGTCCGACCTGTGGAACCTGAACGTGCTGCCCTTCCATCCTGACAGCTTGTTCCGGCATATCAAGTCTGACATCTCGGGCATGACAGTGCCGTGGGTCTACGTCGGAATGATCTTTTCTACGTTCTGCTGGCACAACGAGGATCACCTAGCCTACTCGGCCAACTACCAGCACTTTGGCGCCACCAAGACGTGGTACGGAATCCCAGGAGAGGACACGGAAAAGTTTGAGGCAGCCATGCGGGAGACGGTGCCGGAGCTCTTCGAGACGCAGCCGGACCTGCTGTTCCAACTCGTCACGCTACTGACGCCCGAGCAGCTCAGGAAGGCCGGCGTCAGGGTCTACGCGGTAGACCAGCGCGCGGGACAGTTTGTCCTCACTTTCCCCAAGGCTTACCATGCAGGCTTCAACCATGGCTTCAACTTTAACGAGGCCGTTAACTTTGCCCCGAGCGACTGGGAGCCGTTTGGCTACGAAGGCGTGGAGCGGCTGCAGATGTTCCGGAGACAGCCGTGCTTCTCGCACGATGAGCTCCTCTGGACCGCCGCGGAGGGTAGCTCTCAAGGGCTGACAATTCAGACAGCAAAATGGCTGGCACCGGCTCTGGACCGTGTGCGCAAGCGCGAGTCATCGCAGCGTAGGGACTTCATCGACAAGCACCTCGAATCCAATCCCCACCGGTGCCGCACCTTTGGCAGGGGCGACGACGCGTGCCCACTCACGTTTGAGACCATCGATGAGGACGTGGCGGATGAGAACGAGCAGTGCTGCGCGTACTGCAAGGCGTTTGCGTACCTGTCGCGCTTCAAGTGCCTGAAGTCCGGCAAGGTGCTCTGCATCGCCCACGCCGGGCACCACGCCTGCTGCGACCGCCCCGAGTCGGAGAGGCTCTTGGGCCTCGACCACGTGCTCATCTACCGGAAGACGGACGAGATGCTCACGGAAGCACACACCAAGGTGACGGAGAAGGCACACATCCCGGACCTATGGGAGAAAAAGTACCAGAAGCTGCTCGAGGAAGAGCCACGGCCGTCGCTCAAGTCCCTACGGGCCCTGCTACACGAAGGAGAGCGCATATCCCATGACCTGGATGCCATCCCCGTTGTGAAAGAGTTCGTCGATCGCTGCAATGACTGGGTTGAGGAAGCAACCACTTACCTGATACGGAAACAACAGAATCGCCGAAAGAATGAGCGAGTATGGCAGAATGGAAGCCGAAGGTCGATAGGATCGGCACCGGCACCGGCCTCGTCGACGTCCATGGCACAGCAGGACCAGCCACTACCACCGCCGCCGCCACCCCACCAGCTCAAGGAGAAAGAGTCGCGAAACGTGTCCAACATCCACCGGCTCCTCCAAGAGGCCGAGCACATCGGATTCGACTGCCCTGAGATACACCAGCTCCGGGACCGCGCCGAGGCAATCGAAAGTTTCCGGGAGACGGCGTCACGCTTCCTCGCCAACAAGGCCGCCATCGCCATGGAGCCGTGCCTGGAGCTCCTGGAGGAGGGTCGTTCCTTCAACGTCGGCATACCCGAGCTCGACGGGCTGTCACGGGTGCTCGAGCAGATGCAGTGGGACGACAAGGCGCGATCCAGCCGCAAGATGCTGCTGTCGCTCAGCGAAGTGCAGAGCCTCATAGAAGAGGGCAGGCGGCTGGAGATTCCGGCGTACAACGACCACCTGCAGTTCTGGAGCGAGCAGCTTCGGGCGGGCGAGGAGTGGGAGAAGAAGGTCAAGGAGCTGATACAGGCCGAGTTTGTGCACATAGGGCAGCTTGAGGCGCTGTCGGGGCAGGTGCAGGCGCGCGCGCTGCCCGTCTCAGGCGAGACGCAGAGGGCCGTCGACGGTATCCTGCACAAGCAACGCGAGGCCCACCGCCTGGTCCAGGACATGGCGGCGCGGTGCGCCAGTTCTGATTTCAGGGAAAGGCCAAAATACGCCGAGGCCGTCGAGATGATGAGGAACTTTGACGACCTGCACGCCAAGCCCAACGGCGCCATCGACATGGAGAATGAGCGGAAGCGGCACGAGGACTGGATGCGCAAGGGGAAGAAGCTGTTTGGCAAGTCCAACGCCCCGCTGCACATACTCAAGAGCCACCTGGAGCATGTCCTCGAACGAAACAGAGACTGCTTCGACACGGTCTACGATACACCTAGAATGCCCGGTGAGCCGGTGTCCAGGGAGGCGAGCCCAGAAGGCGGTGCTGTCGGTGCCGCTGGTGCCGAGGCCGTTGCTAAGGCCGATGCCGAGGCTGGGGCGAGTCGTCCTGAAGAGGGTAGTGGTCGGCCAAGACAGGTGTTTTGCATCTGTAGAAAGATGGAGGCCGGCATGATGATTGAGTGTGAGCTCTGTCATGAATGGTGAGCTATTGTCACTCCCTGCTCACCCCTTCTTTCTCAGTACTAACCCATCGAACAAGGTACCACTACAAGTGTCTCAAGATTGCCCGCGGCAAAGTCAAGGAAGACGAGAAATATACGTGTCCGATCTGCGACTGGCGGATGAAGATCCCACGGGACGCCTCACGACCTAAGCTAGAGGACCTGGTGGCACTGGTAGACGAGATCCAAACGCTTCCCTTCCAGCCAGAAGAGGAAGAGGTACTGCGACAGATCATCGACAACGCGCAGGGGTTCCGCGAGCACATCGCTCGGTTCTGCAACCCTATCGTCTCGACGGAAGCCGAGCTGAGCACGCAGCGGTTCTACCTGCGCAAGCTGGAGGGCGCCGAGGTGCTCCTCGCTTACGAGACCAACTTCTTCCGACAGGAACTGCACAAGCTATGCCCCGTGGCACCAGAGGCGCCACCCATCCTCGAGGTGTCGCTCAGCACGCGCAAGCCCCGACCGACGAAACTGCAGAAGATGCTGGCCGAGTACGGCGTGGACAACCCGGACGACCTGCCCGAGCACGCAAAGGGAAAGGCCAACAGCCTGCGTCGCAAGGCGGCCAACGCGGAGGCGGCGGCGGCGGCGGCGGCAGCAGCGCAGGCGTCCTCGTTGTCAGGGGGCACACGTCCGCCCACGTCGTCGCACAGCGCGTACCAGCCCCTATACTCCGGATCGTCACTCCCCCCCGGCCGCTCGGGGCGGTCCACGTCTCTGTCGGAGGATGACCGCCTGCACTCGGACCCGATGGATCTGGACGGGACGTCGTCGGTCCTGAACGGCGCGCAGTTACTGGAGGACAGGGTCCTACGAGGCGAGGTTGACGACGCGGAGCTCAACAAGGAGGAGGGCAAACGCAAGGCGCTCGAGATGCTGAGCCACCCGGAGCAAGGGCGCAGACAAGTCCAGAGGATCTGGGGGGCGGATGTGTTGGGACGTCAGCAGCAGTCACGCAGATCGACCAGCTCCGCAGCACCTGCCGAGCCTGCAGCAGCACCGGTAGCAGAAGGAAATGGTGATGATGAAGGAACCTCTGCCAAGGGCGGTGACGTCGATCAGATGCCTAAGGGTGTGGCGAATCAGGACGACGTGGACAAGGTGACGAAAGAAGAAGCAGTGCCGTCTAAGGGCGATGGATCGGATTGAAAAGAAGAAGGTTGGAAAAGAAGACAAGATGGATGGGGAACAACAGCGGGGGGCGTTTTTGCTTGGGGCGTTTTATTCGAAAAAGACTGGTGTGGGCTGGAGTAGGGGGGGGGAGGGGTAAATTCTTTGGTGTTGGCACGAGTTGTATGAGTATTGTTTCTTTCTTTCTTTCCTTCTTTCTTTTCCAGTCTTGTCTTCATATTAATTGTTATTCTAGTCAGAAAGAAAAAGGCTTAGATGGGTTTGCTCGGAGATATCAATATTGCTCTATATCTGTTTTCTTTCAAGTATTCGAGTAACACATACAACACATATTACAACACATACAACGCATATACATATGCATATGTACTATTATCTTGCAAAAGTGCATCATCTACGGTTTAGATGTAATTCTATGACTAGAGTGGAGACACGATTCACGTAACGATGTTGTCACGTCACATCGGTGATCACCATTAGAGACAGTGTTGGATACGATGACTATCATGAATGTTGTAAAAGTTACTATATACATAATACCTGTGAGAACTAATGTTGGAGACTTGTGCGTGTTGAAAGTCGCTGTGTTGAAAAGAAAAAGGCCAGAACACGACATATTATCACATGTCCTTTTGTTGAATTCTCCAAACGCCTTGTGCAGGAAGTAACAGATGGGAGATGAAGATGGTCAAAGCAGGGAAGACGAAATGGAAAGAAAAAAAAGGAAGCAAGATGATTTGGAAAAAAAAGGTATGAGAGAAGAAGAGAAGAGTGAGAATTCATCGGTCAAGATCATTACCGGTTAACACCGACGAGACTCAGAAACTCATTGCGAGTCTTGGACTTGCGCTCGAAGCAGCCGAGTACGCAAGAGGTGATGGTAGAGGCCGTCGTCTTCTCGACGCCCCTCATGGCCATGCAGAGGTGCTTTGCCTCCATGACGACGGCCACGCCCTGAGGTTTGAGGATCTCCATGATGGCGTGGGCGACCTCCTTTGTCAGACGCTCCTGGACCTGAAGGCGTCGGGAGTACATTTCCGCAATGCGGGGGAGCTTGGAAAGGCCAATTACGGTGTCGGATGGGATGTATCCGATGTGCATCTTTTCCCCCCCCCCTCGTCAGCAGAGAGATTTGAGAGATAAAGAGAGGGGAACGAGAAGGAGAATAGAGAGGGGGGAATAGAGAAGAGAGAAGAGCGAAGGAGAAGGAAGAAGAGAGAGGGAGGATGGAGAAGAGAGAGAAGGAGAAGAAGGAGAAGACGGTACCTTTCCAGCAAATGGTACGAGATGATGTTCACATAGGGAATTGACCTCTATATCCTTGACAATGACCATCTCATTGTGACCCTCGTGAAAGAGGGCACCGTTGACGATATCCTCGATGTTATCCTGGTAACCCTTTGTGAAGAAGAGGAGAGCCTTGGCATATCTCTCCGGCGTGGCCAGGAGGCCCTCCCGGTCTGCGTCCTCTCCCGCGCACTCGAGGAGGGTGCGTACAGCGCCGCTCATCTTCTCTAGACGCTCCTTGGCCTGCTCCTCCGTCTCCTGACGGCGTTGTCTAGTTCCGCGGCCTAGAGTGTCATTAGGGTCAGCTTTTCTCTACATCATCTATCCCTGTGCTCTTGTATTCCTTCTCTTTCTTCTTATTTTCCTTCATTCCCTCTCTTACTGTGTGCATTTCCCTTTGAAGAAGAAGGAGAAGGATGAGGAGGGCATACCTGGCCTGCTGAGACCGTCAAAATCAATGACGGGGACGGAAGAGGTGAACGAAGAAGAAGGAGCGGCGGCGGCGGTAGTCTTGACCACCACACCGCCCGATCCACCCTTTCCCTTTCCCTTGCCGTTCTTCTTCTCTCCGTTGACGGCGCTGCTGCTGCTGCTGCCGTGAGGCTCGTCGAGAGGGTCCCTGGCCGCCTTGCTCAGGCTGCTGCGGCGCGTGGCAAAGGTAGCGGGGTGGGCGACGGAACCGCCATCGTCGACGACGGTCGCGGTCTTGGAGGACGGCTTGGACTTCCCGTTGCGCCTGCTGCGCTTCCTAGATCGGGTGGATTCGTCGTCGCTAGACGTCGTCGCGCTCACGTCGTCGACGACTCGTCTCTTGGACTGCTGATGCCGCTGGTGCGACACTGAGTCGCTGCTGTCGGAGCGAGGCATCTGGGATACCGGAGGTTGGCGTCTGTCTGTGTGAGAAAGAGAGATTTCTCTTCTATGAGAAAGGGGAGGGGGGGTTGGGGGTTGGGATGGGGTCTTTCTCCGGAACAAAGATCGAGGTAGTAAGATGCAATGTAAAACTTGTTTGATAATGATCTTTTTAGTTTAGAGGAATAGAGAGAGAGAGAGAGAGAGAGAGAGAGAGAAGGGGGGGAGGAGGCAGCGAGCTACGTCTTTTTTTTTTTTTCTTGCCTCACTCTGCTGCTGTTGCTATGACGAAAAGTTGCGCCTACGAGAAAAGGTATGAAGGCGGGGGCGTAATAGTCGGCTTTGGTCGAATAACTCGCCGAAGAATCCGCCGGTGTTTTGTCTCTGACAAGGTCGAGATTTTTTAATCGCATTCGACTTTAAATTCTTCCTCTTATCGATGGACGTAGAGAAATCAAAGGTTCTTCTCAGGTTTCATACGGATGGTAAAGAACTCTTCAACACTGAGTCAGCTCCTCCAAAGACCGATTCAGGGACCATCTCCACTCGGATGCTCCCCGCCAAATCGACCAAGATAAATAATAATAATAATAATTATGATAGTAAACGCCTGACACTCGTACCATTTTTGAAAATGAGATAATCCCCTTCCCTTCCTTCTCCTCTCTCCCTTACTCTTCAATCTTCTATAGACTCTTGAATTATTCATTCCACAAGAAACAGGAAACCTCCCATCATTTCAAATCATCTTTACTCCTCCAACTTCTCTTTCAATGGCCGCACATCAATGTCTCGGTTCCTGAAGCCGATAACGTAAAGTCTGTACCGCCATGTCAATGTCCGAAAAGGAAAACAAAATCTACCCTGCACTCAAATCACGTGATCACCACCGAGACTCCGTCATCTCTCCCTCTCTACTCCGTAGCTTCACGCGTCATATCACCAACTCTCCCTGTGCGGCAACACGCGTTGATGATTTCTCTCCATCCCTCTCTCTTTCCTTCTCTTCTCCTCCTCCTCCCCCATTTTTCCTCCTTTATTGGCTAGCGCATTCACTTGCAGCCAGCGTCCCAACACATCGGCTCTCCCCCCCTTCTCCAGAAACATGGCCTCACCACCGCCTCCCACTGCGGGCTCCCCCCTAGCCATGTCCATGTCCCCCCCGAACCCGACGCCGGCCCAGCTTCCGGGCAAGAAGCGTTCGTCGACGCTGGACATACACTCAGCCCCGTCGAAGCGCCGCAAGCCGTCCCAGAGCACCAGCAATGCGCCTTCCCAGTCCCACCCTCTTCGCCAGACGTCGTTCCCGCCCGAGGCCCAGTCCCCCGGCGTGCGCTCCCCCTCGGTCGACACGATGTCCCACGTCAGCGGGAGCCAGGTCAGCGGGCTGACGGCCGCCGGCGCCAGGAAGAAGAAGAGGGGGCGCAAGGCCAAGAATGCCGCCGGTGGCGGGTCCGGCAACGCCAACGGCGATGACGCCGAGGCCACGTCCAGCCTTGTCGGCGGCAAGGCGTCCACGTCTGTCGCCGGGGGTGCGGGCGATAAGGACGGCGCTGCCGCCGGCGAGGACGACGACGAGGACGATAATCAGGAGATGGCGTTGGAGGACGTCGTCGCGCGCACCCAGGAGCAGAAGCAGGAGGAGGTTCGCCTCCGGGCCATGCTCGTCGAGGCCTTCGACTCGGAGCAGTACAGCCGCTACGAGCACTGGCGTGCTGCCAAGTTATCTGACGCTGTTGTCAAGAGGGTGTGTTTCTTCCTCTCCTCTCTTTCCTACCAGCCTCCTCCATCAACCTCCCTCACCAATCCGCCCCTCCCCTCCCTCCCAGAGGCCTGTTACTGACATCATGATGTACACTAGGTCGTAAATGCTACCGTCTCCCAGTCAGTCCCCCAGATGGTAAGCACCGCCGTCAAGGCCGTCGCCAAGCTCTTTGCCGGAGAAATCATCGAAGCCTCGCGCCAAGTACAGCTGGAGCTCATCCGGGCTGGAGAGGACCAGTCCGAGCTGCCAGACCCCAACCGCCCTCGCCCTCGTTCTCGTCCCGCCGCCTCCTCATCAAACACCACACCCGAGGTGAAGATGAAGCTAGAAGAGGAAGAGGGCGTGGAGGCAGAAGCACTGCCATCAGCACCAGCCAACGAGGCTGACGAGGGACAGAAACAGGATGGAGAAGAAGAAGGAGGAGGAGGAGGAGAAGGAGAGGAGGAGGAGGAGGGGGGGGAGGAGGGGGAAGAGGAAGAAGAAGAAGAAGAAGAAGAAGAAGAAGAAGAAGAAGAAGAAGAAGAAGAAGAAGAAAAAGATTATGACCCCAGGAGAGGACCCCTGCGACCAGAGCATCTGCGCGAGGCCTGGCGACGATACAGGCTCTCCGGCGAGAGTCGTGGGGTAGGCGTGCAGCAGATGTGGCATGCCCAGGCGCGGAATGGCGTCGACCGCTTCTCTACCAGGACAGGGAAGAGACTTTTCAAGTGAGATTGTTCAAATCCTCTTTGCTAAATATAATGGAGGGGATAGATGCGTTTCATGAAGCAATTTGCAATTTAGGAGGACTAATATACCCCTCGGGACCTACTGGTCCTTCTTTTTTCATACTCGGCGTTTTGTTAGGTTTTTTTTTTCTTGGGGGGGTTCCTCATTGGGCTGCATTGTATATTATATAGGAGTTTGGGGGGGTCCGTCATTCATCAGAGGCATATACATGAGACATGGCCCAGTTGTTTCTTCCTTCTCTTCTTCTTTCCCACATCATTCATCCATCTTGACACACTTGCTGCAATACGTCGTGTTACATACTACGGGACATCTCAACAGTGAACAGATTATACAAAGACAACGCTGTTGCTCAAGATCAGATAGACATGTGAGCTAATCGTAATCGTGATACTCCTCGTAATACTCCCCCTCGACATCTCCCCCATAATACTCCTCGTAATCCCCCTCAGATTCCGTCCAAGGCAAGCAAGCCATGATATCACCGACTCTTTCCACGACGATATCCTGCCGGTGATCATGTGGCGTCTTCCTGGTCTTCGCATCAGCGATGCTGACGGCAACAAAGCAGCCGTCCGACCCGAGGACGACGCTCTCGAGCGGCAGCCTCCTGGACCCGCACCACTCCACGTCCCCTTCGTCAAAGGGGCTGGGGTCGATGCGGCTGAGGACAAAGTGAAAGTTTTCGACGTCGCTGCACTCGTCGTCCACCTCGGGGAAGTTGACGTTGAGAAAGATGCTACGCGGAAGAAAGGGCGGTCCCCACGAGACGACATGGCCGACCAGCCTGGTGGCCAGCTGAGCGTACACGTGCCCCTCGACCGGCTCGGCCTCCTCCCCCCAGGGCCTCGTCGTGACCGACGCCCCCGAGAAGGCGATTGCGGGGATGCCGGCTCTTCCCGCGGCGTAGGCTGCCGCGGCGACGGTGCCGGACCGGTCGATGTTGCGGAACGTGTTGGACCCGACCTTGACGCCCGCCACGGCCAGTTCGGCGTCGCGCCCGTCCCACACGGAGGGGCCGATGGAGTCGATACCGTAGTGCATGCACGTCACTGGATACGAGTTGACCCAGTTGAGGTTGTAGTCTATGTCGTCCGTCCCCGTGGGACCGCTGCGCGCGCTGCAGCTGTCGTAGATGCATGGTTTGACGCGCGGTCGGGGTTCGCGATCTGCCCAGCCTTTGGGCATGTCATGTCAGCCCCCTCGGCTGCGGGCGGAAAGACATGTAGGGGACGCTCACCTGTACCGGACTGGTCGTCCGCTGTGCCTGCCAGGACGACACTGTGGCCTGCGTGTGTGAGGGCATGGTAGAGGGAGAGGGGGTAGCTCTCGGCCCATCCGTCGGCGGTGACCTGGATGATGCGAACGCCGTGAGCCGAGGGGACGTGAGAGCATGCTAGAAGGAGGAGGAGGAGGAGGAGGAGAAGGAGGAGAATCCCCATGATGCGGAGCGGAAGTAGAGCATTCGATACCGTATTTAGGTGCGCTTAGGAGTTCTCCACAGGTGCTGCGGTGGTATCGGGAGGATAACAGGGTACAGTCCAATGTCGAGCTGAATGCGAGAACAGGGTTCATTTTGAAGGCGGGCTGGAAGAGAGTCTTGTTGCTGCCTTGTCGTGGACAACGGGCTCCTGCCGCCATGCATTGTTTCCGTGTAAATCGATAGAATGATGACTACCGTTCGCGTAAATGGGGCCTCAGTAACAGGAGACGAGTGAGAAGGAGCGAAAGGACGAGAGCACGGAATGGTTTTCATTGTACTAGACGCCATACTCCGTACTGAGGATTAGTCTGTTGGTTCTGGTAAACACAATACTACCGTGTAAGATGGCATCTTTGAAGATGTCAGTCAATGGTGAATGGCAGTCGGCGATGGTGGTGGCCTCTAGTAAGAAGAAGCGAGTCGGTGCTGCGATACGCTACACGATGACCGGCTGAAGACGCGTAGGCCCCTGAACAATTGCCAATCTTCAAACACGGCTGGCCTATTTCGAAACAGAAACATTTCAATGAATAGAGTTGCTCATGAACTCATTCTTCCTCTCACTCCTGTGGATGATAATGCTTATTGCAATGTTGGAAATAGGCCACCGACCAGTTGGTAGTGGGGACATATCGATAAGAGAAATACGTACCTGACATCCAAGGCAACCGTTGCAAGTCAGCATTTTGCGCCTCTTCACGTATCCCAAAGAGCAGCAGCAAGTAGCTTTCCACCACCGTCTCATCGCATCGCCGACACCAGGCTAACAACCAGGGGGGAAAAAAAGCAAAGACCATGGCCCCCATCGATCGATGCCTGGCCTCGATGGCCAGGCTGTCCATCGCACAGCCACTCATGAGGCCCGCGGTGCCCACGATACCGCGATTCCTGGCGCCGTCGCTGGTGCAGAGCCGTCAGGCGTCGGTAGTACGCATCAAGGGAAAGCCGAAGAAGAAGAAGGTCCTCTCCAAGGACTTTAAGAGGCATCGTATCCAGAAGACGGACTTTCCGCAATTCTCTCTCTGCGAAGCCATGAGGTTATTATCCCCTCCCTTCTTATCAAAGTGTTTAGGGGGGAAAAAGATGGGAAGAAAGTAGCTAACCCGACCTCCTTTTAACACACGACAGAATTCTACGCGCCTACGAAGTCGGCCAGAACCCCGGATCGGTCAAGTACGAAACGCACATCCACCTCAAGACGCTGCGGAATGGCCCGGTAATCAAGAGCAGCATCCGCCTGCCCAACCCGGTGCAGAGCGAGTGGCAGATCGCCGTCATCTGCCCCGAGGGCAGCGAGGTGGCAACGGCGGCGACGGCGGCGGGCGCCAAGGCCGTCGGCGAGGAGACGCTGTTCGAGGCCATCCGCCAGGGCAACATTGAGTTCGACCGCCTGCTGTGCCACGAGTCCAGCGAGGCCGCCCTCAACAAGGCCGGCCTCGGCAGGATCCTCGGCCCCAAGGGCCTGATGCCCAGCCACAGGATGCAGACCATCACCAAGGACGTCGTGCGCGCCATGCGCGACTCGGCCGGCTCCTCCGAGTACCGGGAGAAGCAGGGCGTCATCCGCATGGCCATCGGCCAGCTGAGCAACACCCCCGACCAGCTCAGGCAGAACGTTGAGGCCGTCGTCAAGAAGATCCGCGCTCAGTGCGCCGACATGTCCGAGGACGTGCCCAAGGAGATTCACGAGGTCATCCTCAGCACCACCAACGGTCCTGCTATCAGCCTGAATGGAAAGTTCAAGGATGCCGAGGATAAGACTCTGCCCGAGCATCTGGCCAGTGTCATGTAAAAAAAAAAAAAAGAAGAAGAAGAAGAAACGAAAACGAAAAGGAGGGACAGCGGAGAGAGAGGGGGACAGAGAGAGAGTCATTGTATTATTGTATAATATTCGCAGTATATGGAAATCATTTTTTTCAATCAGGGCAAACGTCGTCTCATGCAACTTTGCTAATTGATATGGTACAAAAATAATGATAATCGTACAAGATGTGTACCATTTTCATTTTTTCTTCACGTCTTCACTCGGGTATCTCATCATCATGCCATTACCGCCTCTTCAGCAACTTGATAGCTTCGCCCTGGGCATCTATAACGCGATATATGGCCAGATACTTGATGACGCGGTCCTGCCCCTTGGGTCCCGCGGCCCTGGCCTCTTTAAGAGCGTTGCCCAAGTCGAGCAGGAGGGTATTGCGGCATCTCATGAGGCGCTCCTCCTGCCTGATGACGAAGGGGTGGTCCTGGTCCATGGCAGCCATCATGCTCATGATACGACGGCACTCCTGTGCGAGCACGGACAGCTTAGACGGCGAGGTAGCAACGAGTCCGCCGCCACCCTCTGTCTTCTTCTTCCCACTGGCATCGTCATCTCCTCGTTCCTCTCCCTCCTCTTCCGCATTGCTCTCGCTATCGGCACTCCAGGTGTCGTCATCGTCACCATCAGCGTCGGCGGCGGGAGTGCTCCCGAGGACCAGCCTGTCCTCCAGAGAGGCCAACCGATCTGACAGCTCGAGCATGTCCCGCCCGCGCTGGATGCCCGACCGCACACGCCTCAGATCATCGTTGAGCCGGGCCGCCTCATCCCGCCTCTGGGCGACGCCGGCCCTGACGTCCTCGACGGCGCGGCGGAAGCCCAGCATGGCGACGCGCACGTCCTCGACCTTGTCGTCGCCGCCGCGCAGCTCGGTGCCTAACGACAGGAAGGCAGTGTAGTTCGAGTTGACCAGCTCCAGGAGCTCGGTGCTGATGGCTGAGCTGCGCTCGCGGAGGTCGGAACGCAGATCCTCCAGCGTCTGGTGGCGGTGTGGTAGCGCGGAGAGGTACTCTGCCGGCTCGAAGTCGGGCTTCAGGAAGTCGGAGCGGGGGAGGGCGGCAGGGAAGGGAAGTGGCACATCATCGTCATTGTCGAGGTCGTCATCGTCGTCAGCATCGCCCGCCAAGTCGTCCCGGCCACCGCCTATCGAGCTAGCTGGTGGAGTATTTGTCGATGAGGATAGATTGAAGACGGCGGCGGGACGAGCTGCGAGGTTGGCCATTGTGTGTGTGTGTGTGTGTGACGTCTGCGTACCAGGCACAGATATTGGCTTGAATTGGGTGGTAAATTTCCCCCCCCGAAAGCGGAGGGGTCGGATAGAGAGGAAGAAAGAGGTAGGAGGTAAATTACAGAGTCCAAGCCGGCTCTTCGCGTTGTTGGGGACGGGAAGGGGAGGGGGGGTTGGGAAGCAAAGGAGCGAGGACCGGGATTTGCTTCGGGGGGATAGTGGATTATTACGTCGCAAGCTGTTTGGTAGGGGTTACCGGAGTACGGTACGATGAGATCGTACGAGTTCGGATGCTGACTCTGCTTTACTTTGCTCTGCTTTGCTCTGCTTTGCTCTGCTTTGCTCTGCTTTGCTGACCGGTTTGGCGGGGCGAGTCTGGTGGCCTCTGCGTCTGGTGGCGGGCGAATGACTGGCGGTCTGTTTAGTGTGATGTGGTTTGTTGCATATCTAGTATAGGTGCATAGATCTTGACAGCGAATGGGCCACGGTTGCTTTGCAAATATTACTCAAATACTACTCACGAGTTACGGCACTACCCGACGAGACAGACATTACGGATCAATCGTGAGACAAGATGGCTTTCGGTTGAGTTGCCATCCGGGACAGGGGCAGGGAAGGATGAAGGGGCCACGGAGGGTCGCTATCAGACGGTCGTCAAGACAAGGGTTGCACGGTAAAAGAGCACCGAGAACCCTGCGACAACGGAGAGTGTCTTACGGGCCATAACTAACGGAGCAATAATACGACACGACACCCTGGACCCGTCCCCGAGACATTATTACAATTTACAGGTGGTGAGCAGTGCCCGAGCACACGCCAAAGACCGATGGTGCGAAGCCACGGACCCTCAGCTCGGCCCTGCTTTTTTACGCGCGTTATTGATAACAAGTTGGACCAATTGACCGACGACCGGACAGTCTAGTGTCTCCAGTGAGCGGGGTAATAAAAATCATGGGTTAACTTTTTTGTTCTCCGTCCATCTTTCTTTTTTAACTTGCTCAAGGGACCCGCTGGAGGCGAGTTGGGGCAATTCGTATTTTAGAGGGGGGAGAAATGCAAGCATGATAGTTGGGGTGGTCTGTTCTGTACACAGATGCTGTATAGCCTTCTTCGTTGTTACTCTTTTTGGAGCCGCATGCATCTCAAATTCTAGAGGGCGGGGATAAGAGAGGATGAGGAGAGTGAGGCTCACATGTTACAGCGCCAAGTATACTGTATTCGTCGTCCCTGGTCAAAAGACTCTGCTTGAACGGCATGGACCAACCAGAAAGATGGCAGAGTTTTTTATCAATCACATCTAATCAATCTGATCGTGTGACCCACCGTGTCGCTCGTCCGCCTATCAATCAACCTAGACAATCAGGTCATTTCGGATTGGCCTCGGAAGAGCGTCTTCACAGTGTCCAGAAAAAAGGACGCGTATTACCAAGTCCACAGTAATCATGCTCGGTTCTCCGAGGTCTATAGTCCCTCGAGCTCTTCCAGGCAAAGATTTTCCAAAAGTCTGACCCCCCCCGGCGACGCACGCGGCTACCGTTTCCACTCACTCAGAACACCATTCCGTTGGCCCGGCTCAGAGGGGATATGATCAGGTCACTCACTATAGGGTATTTTCTTTTCTCTTGCAACGCAGTGATGTGCAGGACGGAAAGGGCTCAGTGCAGAGTAGAAAAGCCGCACAGTTACGGGCTCAACACGTGAGATGATGCTATTAGTTGCCATTGATTCGACCCTATCCAGTTCAATCATGACGCATATAGATATCATAACTTTCAAGGAAAATGTAGAGCTCAAGATACTCGGTAATATAATCTGTACTTGACCATGTATCGCATACAGTCGACTGCACACTGTGCAGGGCCCTTCTTAGCCCTTTGTGGGCCCTGGATTATCGCTCCGACCACGGCAAAGCCAGTGCCAAAACTAGAACAAACTTATCCACCCCCCACCTGTGCGTGACCGATCTCTCTCTTCTCTCTTCACTCTTCCTCTTCCCCCAACGACGGAGGAGGCATTTACCATAATTGCTTCGCCCCCCCCCCCCCCCCCCCCCCCCCCCCCMCMCYCMCSRCCA